TCCATTTCGTTATGTAACTTCGGTTCACCCTGTGACCTGGCTATCGCCGTCTGTTGGCAGTCTCGTTCTCTGTAGTGGTGTTTAATGATATTGTGAAGAGGTGAATCCTTAAAACGTATCCCACATGCCAACGCGAAGCGGGTACCCCGTTAGTTAAATAGCTGGATCCGGCATCGAGGACGACCTAATTTTTATGTCTTGCTTTAGGTCATTATATGTCGCTATAAATTTAGAATTTCCCACTAACAGAATATCCCTAATCCACGAATATCGCGAATTCGTCGCAGCTGCCTTCCAAACGTATCCTCTCATTCTCGCATCAGAGAACACATTTGTTTAAAGTGTCTCCTCTCATCGCAGCTTTTCGATTTGATCGTTAATAAATTTCAATTGACGTAATCACGGCTATAGAGCGAAAACTAACAGGGATATTATCAGTGTAGACTGTCGGCGACTTTTGCGGCTTCCCACGAAGGAGGTCATGTGATAAAGGACGCGAGATATACGTAGTTGTGAGGTGAGAATCGGGCTAGAATCGTTGCTAATCTTGGTTGCACATGCTTCGCGAACGTTTAAACATTATGCGACGTGAGAAGAACATTGAACGGCAGCTTGGGACATCGATGCCAGTGGGAAGCAGCGTAAGAAATTCGAGTCATCCGTAGATAGGATGGAGCGAATTCCCTCTGTAAAACGTGTAATATTAATACTATTTGTGTGTGCTGGGTTGTCGAACGGTCATCACTAAACAATTAACAACCAGTTGGACATTCTCTACTCGATTTTCTCGTTATAATTTGAAACTTCGTCGGGCAGGGATAAGTCGCCGTGGTTGTCTACAGTTTTGTCAGTGAGAGTTTCAGCTCTGGGTTTCGGGAATAAGGGTGGAATGCGAGAAGCGGATAGAAGATAAAGAGTCATCTAGCTAACTTTACGCCCTTACTGTGTGTTCCCTCTGACCGAGGAGACAGCGGCCAGGAGAAAGAAAAAGGGAACGGCGGTGGCAGGGGGTAACACTAGCCGAGTAAGCTCTGGACACTTCTTAGGATTCAGGGCTTAGCACCCCTGGATCCTCAGGCTTCACGTCTGCCTGGCCTAACCTGGGACTCCTCCACTGACTCCACTGGTACTCGCTCATGCTGTCACCTTTTTTCCTCGTCTAACTATCCACCGATCAGCAACGACTTTCTTTCTCGTGCTCTAATTAACCTTCGTTTCTCTAGATTGTCTTTCTTTTTAGTATGCGATCTACTGCTATGACAGTGAATACATGCGTGAAGGAGATTTATTACCGATTATGCCGTGTAGAAGATGTATAGTGAAAAGCGTAATTGAACCAATATGATGAACGAACAATCGTTTGCCACGATCCACATTTGGTCTCGTTTTGAAGTGTCAAGTCTTCGCTTTCACGTCGTGTGTTCATTTCTCTCAAAGGTGATTTCTGACATTATGTACGGGGGATGTGAGGGGAACTTCTTTCTTGAAAATTGTCAAAATTCAAACGTCTGTAAAAACGTTGAAAAAACTCCTTCGTGACTAGATCCATCTGCTCCAAGACTAGATCGTTTTGAAGATTGAAGTCTTCCCTTTGCAACGATTCTTTGAAACTTGTTGTACGATTTTTCGTTTTTCCACCATTTCCATTTTATGAAACGTTGAAGATTAAAGTGAAACGACAAAAATTCAAGAAATCCTAACATTTTGACAGCTGACCCTAATGTTCCAAGTTTAACAAAAAAAAAAAAAAAAAAAGAAAAGAAAAGAAAAGAAAATCATGCAGCAAGTTTCAAAGTGGTCGTTGCAATCTTCAGGACCGTGGTGGATTGAAGTAATTTTTTATGTTTCTAACAGACGCTTGAATCTTGTAGAATTTTGTAAAAAAGAGACCTCACTTTCCCAAGAACGATGCAAAATCATTTTCGAAAGAAACGAACGAATTCCAGACTGTCAAAGTAGAGATTTTACAATTTTACCACAGGACCAAGCGGATTGTTGTGTGCTTCTCTTCCCCAAAGTTATATTAAAAAAATTTAAATTATCAACAATTTTTCGCAATCGTCGGGTTCGATTACGCTCTTGATACAAGACTCTATAAGAAAATCAGAATTTCTTCCAATCTCTTAGAGATTGTCATGAGTGAAGTTTCATCCCATGCGGATCTTGTCTCAATATTATCATCCTGTAACGATATCATCGCTTTGTTACGATTATAAACAACAAGTTTTCTATTCTTCATCTAATATTACATCGAGTGACGATATGAAAACGTTGAATTTTCACTTATTTAACTCTCTCAGTCTTGAAATTAGATAGAAACGATGCGCCGCGTTGAACTTTCACCCATGAGCTAATGATAAAAAAAAAAGAAAAAGATTCGAACTATGCTAACGGAAAGTACACGTTTCCTTATTATGCAATCATGCATTTCTTGTTGGAAAACTCACGGAACTTTTGCATTTTCTTTGATGTCCTTCCGGCACGTGTCTTGTTAGAGCTGCATCCGGCGATTCTGATGACGATTCGTTGATCATATAGGTACCCACCTTAAGTTTATGTCATATTTCATATCGCAATTTTACAATGAAATAAGACAGAAACATAAGACGGCTTTCCTATGTTATTCCGTTCCTTTTGTGTTGCCGTTTCCTCCGCTCTTCGGGCGATGACACCGCGAGAACAATGAATAGGATGGGAAGCATAATTTTGCAAATGTTCGAACTTCGTCTGTGCTCTTGCCTATAGTAAAATAATGGATACTGACGCCATTGTTAGAAAGAATTTGTTACGTGATATAGTGCGTGGACAACCATGTGCACCGCAGTGTCAGATTGCTATTACGTATCAGAAGGGTGGGCATCAGTTAGGATTTCAAAACCAAGTCCCTCTACGAAGACGTCTCACTTATTTCTATTTCTTATTTTCATTATTTTCTTGAACAGATTGAACGATTGTACGCGAGAGAAACTGTCAGCAACGTTTTAAACATTGAAAACTAGATTGCACTTTCTACAATATACATATATTACATAATTGGGCGGATGAATTTATATAATTTGTCACACGTGAAGTTGTTTCTCTCTCGGTAGAAAAAAACGCTTTGTTTAGTCTGAATTTTTAACAAACGAGAACAAATGTATTGAGCAAGGCGTGCGTGACAGAGTCGCGATATTTTAAATGTTTTTAGTAAGTTGGTTAGAACTAATTGCAATGATTGAATTATATTTGGAAAAAAGAGGGGAAACGTTGCGTACAGGTAGCTAGACAGTTGCATACGAATATACGCACGTGAAGTTGCATAAGAAGCCCTAAATCTGCTTGAGGTAAACGGGATTAATCTCATCCACCCCACGCGAAGCCTTGTCAATCTCATTGGCGTAGAAAAATAGAGTTCTTCTGTGAATTACAATTTTTTTGGCTCTAACGAGATTCTGCTGTTCGTTCTTACGACTTCCAGCTTTTCAAAATATCGCTATGCTGTCCATCGTCTACGCGCAGTTATTATGGCATTCTGCCTGATCTTTCGTCCACCATGTTAATATTCGTGAGTATTTATGAACGAAAAAAAAAAAGAAAAAAAAAACAGGAGATCTAGTTTACATAGACACGAAACACAAATAATAATATTCCCATTTTGGTTTCGAGATAATGAAAGTATAAAGTAATCCGAGTGGGAAATACAAGTGCTGTGACAAAGAGTACACAGTACCGTGGTTCCCTTGAATTGTAATAAAATGAATTATAGCAAATATTAATATCTTCCATTTGCCAACGAAATGGGCAAAGTAATTAGATTATATTGCGCGTACAATACATCATTTGTTGCTTTAAATACCATTCAGAGCTAACTAGATCATATTAATTGTATCTCGTTACATAGATTTTTAAACGTGTAATTAATTACAGAAATAGTTTGTTTTCAAAAGGCTATACGAAAGATAGTAGTTTGAGGAACGATTCATTCGGTTAGAATATAATGTAAGTAGTAGGCGCCAGTATCTAATCAGACACGATATTTTATCCCATTATGCAAAGGTTTATCGTTAAACTATGATCTTTGTCTTACACTTTACTTTCGATAACTAAATTTAAATTTATTAAACAACGACGTCGGCGTAAACAAATGATTTTTTTTTATATTTGTTCAACAAATTCGTTCAGACAATTGAATGAAAGTTTAGACATAATGATCCCTTGTTAAAGTTGAAGGAAAAAGGTGTGCAATAATAATGCAAGAGGAGTTGAAGTATGTGTGAAATTTGATTTTTTTCAAATGTTGTTTATACCGGTAGATAGCCTCGATCGTCAACGATAGCACTTGTCCGACGGCGGCTGGCGTTACAACGTTCCACTTTGCACGATTTTCACACAATTTCCGATTATTCCGTCTCATCGCAACGCTCGATCGTTAAAAGTTTAGCTTTTCCGAAATAATAAACAAACGTTTATGGAACACCGACTGTGTACGACGCGTTTGCCAAAATAATGCTCGTCGGTTTTCTCAAAGTTTAACCTGCCATCTGGTATGCTCGGGAAAT